TTCATGGGTTGGTTTAAAAGGGGCTATGTATCGATACTCGAAACCACGATCAGCAATGCAGCGATTGGCTGGCGGAAAGACAGCAACGTAATGACATCTTATAATTAAAAAAGACACCTGACGAAAAACTTGACACATTTTTGGACTTTTATAAGGAAACAGCCAAGCGAACAAAACTACATAAATGTTATAATAGATCAATTAAATGTGCACTGTTTTTATTTTTATTTTATATCTTTTACATGATTCCCAATTATTTAAATTCACAATTTCTAGTATTTGTACAGGTTTTATATTTTTAGTTCAATGTTGTAATTAGCAATTCATGTAATTTTATATTTTTATCAGATTTGTTGTGACAGCATTAATTAAAGTTTCTTTAGTATCTGCGTCTCCTGCGCTCCATCAAGCCACTCCAGATCCAGCCTCCACACCAGACTTTTTGTGAACTACAGTTGCAGTTTGCTCTAGGTTTGTTTTCGTACTACACTTTTTTTTGGACTACTTAATTCATACCAGGTTTATTTGTTTTAACATTATTTTTATTTTTAAAAACATTTTTAAAATGTTGAACTACAACATTACCTAATTGCAACCAAAATAGAAGAAAGGGCCCCGGGTGTCGTCAGAGTGCGGTGATTCGAACGCTTCGAATCACTGAGTCATTTCAAGAAGCAATTGATTCAGTTGACTCGCCGTTTCTCCATCATCACTACTCGCCAGTGACTTAATTAGTGTTTATGATCAACTGGTTCACGGTAAACATAGCTAAAAGAGACTCACCTTTTCTGTTGCTGGTGAATGGATGCGCTGTACAAGTACAACATATACTTCATTAATGTTAGAGAAAGCATTACAATGCTACATTCAATAACAACTAATTCGTTTTACAGTTGCTGTAAAAACAACCAAATGGACTGAATGAGTCATATCTATTTAAACCATTTAAATGCTTTAAAATCACTAACCTTTCTTCATCAGAATCACAACAGATGCAGGAGCCCGGCGCAGCCCTATGATGTCACACCACAAAACCAAAATAAAAGTCCCGTTCACACGCTGATCTCTAAAATCAGAAAATGACACACAAATAATGTAAATAATAAATTTTATGAGAACAGAGTTTATTTCTTGTTAATAAATAAATATATATATATATATATATATAAATTAATGTCACCGAATCATGTGCATGTTAAAATATTAGGAACTACTAATAAAATTATGAATCGTGATTAATCGCATCCAAAATAAAAGTTGTTGTTTACATAATATGTGTGTACTGTGTATATTTATTATGTATATATAAAATACAAACACATGCATGTATATATTTAAGAAAAATATATTATTGTATATAATTTATATGAATATAAATATGTACATGTAAATACATGTAAACATTTTCAAAATATATACTGTATGTGTGTGTATTTATATATACATAATAAATATACACAGTACACACACATATATTATGCAAACAATATATTTTGAATGCGATTAATGGTGATTGATCTTTTCCCAGCACTAATAAAAATGAAATGTATTTAGTAAGTAACTTAGTTACTAGCACGATGGGAATGAGCAACAGATTGCATTTCTTTAGTATCTAACTTGGGTTAGTATCCGTCACATGCATGACGTTTTTCAACTTTAGCTTATTTGTGTAATACTTTACTCACAAAAGTATTGCTAAAATTTCTGAAAGGTCCTTTCGTTGCTTTGTAATACAGCTGGACAGTGTTGGGGAAAGTTACTTTTAAAAGTAATTCATGACAACATTGCATTACTCTTTAAAAAAAAAAAAAAAAGTAATTTGATTACTTTTTATGGATTACGTTACTTTTGTGGTACTTTTTGTCACCTGGGCTGGATTATTTGATTTTTGATTTTTTTGTATATTTTTAGTAACTGTAAAGGCCCTTTGTGTATCGGTGAATAAATGCTAAAACAAAGTAACTTATTTGAAAAGGTAATCAAATATTTCATTGTAATTTTAAAAGTAATGTGTAACTTTACTAGTTACTTGAAAAAGTAATCTGATTACGTAACTCGCGTTACTTGCGATGCGTTACACTGCAGGTCACAATGTCCCTCATTTAAATAATTTCCACCCAAAGAAAAAAAAGGCAGGAAAACTGTCTGTGTTCACTAAATGAGCAATTAATCACTATATAGACAGCAACTCACACCAAGTATATTTTGGACACTTACTGTTAATTTTATTAAAAATAATTTGTAGTTAGTCTGAAACTGTTATCAGTACTTCTTTTATTGCTTCTCTATAATCTGATATATAATGGCTACATATTGCATTAGGAATGGTTACATTTCATTTCATTTCATTACGTTACATTATTATTATTATTCATTTATTTATTTATAAAAAAAAATTTGCCCTTTAGACAGAATCTCACACAATGTGTTTGGTAGTTCCTAGTATGTTCAGCACACGACTGAACGACATGTATTTAAATATGTATTTCACCTATAATTCAACCCTAAACTCCTCTATTTTTGTTCTCGCGTGAACAGGACTTTTATTCTGGTTTGGCGACGTGATGTCACAAGGCTGCGCCGTACTCCGGCGTTTGTTGTGATTCGACTAAAGAAACGTTTGTGTTTTTAAGCGTTTTAAGCGTTTCAATTAATGCAATCCGTTTGAACAATTTTATAGGTTTTGCAAACGATATAAAATAGCTTCGTTATTATTGAATGTAACATTGTAATACTTTATCTAACGTTAAAGCGTGTTATTTTGTGTAAGTAAAGCGCATCCGTACATGAGTAACAGAAAAGATGCGCCTTGTTTCGCTCATTATATTGTCAGTCAGTTTATACACCAATTCAGTCACTGGCAAAAACAGGGCAGTGTGCTGAACTAGGGAGCTGACTGAGATGCACCCAAAGACTTAGTTTGCATTATTTATTTATGCTAATTATTCTCATCTTAAACACACAGAGATCCATGTGACACACTATTATGAAGATGGCGTTTATTAAAGAGGAGAGTGAAGACTTGAGGATTGAAGAAGTATTCAGTCTGAAACGTGAAGATACTGACGAAGATATAGGTTGGTTTTAACTCACTCGTTTGAAGCTTATTTAAAAAGTCCAGCTCTACAGAAATGAGTGATATCCGAATTGAAGTGTGTGTGGACAGACATGTTGAGAGCACATGCCTATTATTTAGGAAAAAATAATAGAGAAGTAGCCCAAACAAATCAATGATGGAGTGCAACATCTAAAATGTTCTTTTTGTCTAAAACAAAAGAAAAAAAAATCATTTCTATCACTTAAGTATGCAACTAATAAAAAGTTTCAATAGGCAAACCATGAAATATGACTGATCAACTGTCAGTAATTATCATCTTTGCATATGGGATCAGTTCTGTAAAAAAAGAAAGAATTTAGTACAAAGAAATGACCAGCCATCTCATATTTGATATTTTTAATACACTCTGTTAACTTGGAAATGTGTGTTTCTTCAAGCTGAGAGGAAATCCAAAAATGTGTGTCACTGGTGTAACACTGAAATCTAATTATAATGTCTCTCAAGGAAAACATATACAAGGAGAAAAGCAGAGGGCCCAATACTGAGCCTTGCGGCACTCCATACTTGAGTTTGATGACTCTCTTCATTTACACAAAGTGGTCATAATCATATTAGGACATAAACCATATTAATTTCTTGTCCACAAATGCCTATGTAACTCTCAAGCTATCCATGAGAATGTTGTGATCTATGCATAGCTCTGGAAAAAGGTCTTCAAAATTACTTGAAAACTACAAGCAGGTTGAATCTAAACTCTGCAGGACTGTGTCCCTTCACACGCGGAGTTTGACACTCCTTAATAAATGGCAGGGTCATTGTTGCTCTCTTTCCTTCTGTTGCTTTTAAACAGGGTTTAACTTGTATTTGTCTCTTTTCATCCTAGACCTGATGGCGCTGATAGAGGAGAGTAAAGATCGGTCTAAGAATCATGATTTCAGTACTGAAGAAAAATCTTTTAGTTGTTCACAGACTGAAGAGACTCCGTCGCAAAAAAACCCTCAAAAGACTCGAATTAGAAAACGTGTCATCTGCTCAGAGTGTGGAAAGTGGATAAGCAATCAAAGAAACCTTGCCGTCCACATGAGGGTTCACACCGGAGAGAAGCCTTTCACCTGCCCTCAGTGTGGAAACAGTTTCACTCAGCAGGGAAGCTTTGTTAGACACATGAGAGTTCACACCGGAGAGAAGCCTTACAGCTGTGAACTGTGTGGAAAGAGCTTCTCAGCACAACTAAACCTCGACTATCACATGAACAGTCACACTGGTGAAAAGCCATTTTCATGTGATCAGTGTGGAAAGCGCTTCAGACACAAAGCAACCATTAAAAATCACAAGAAGATTCATTCGAGACAGGAGCGTTTTATATGTCGTCAGTGTGGAAGGAGTTTCACAGACGCAAATCACCTTAAGAATCACGTAATAACTCACACTGGAGAGAAGCCTTACATGTGCGATCACTGTGGAAAGGGTTTCACAAACAAAAGTACTCTTAAGGTTCACATGATAATTCACACAGGAGAGAGGCCTTTCGCCTGCCTTAAGTGTGGACAGAGTTTCAAATTGAAAGCATCCCTTCAGACTCACATGAGCGTTCACAGTGAAGAAAGGCCTTTCACCTGCCCAGTGTGTGGAAAGAGTTGCAAACGTAAAGGAAACCTTAAGCTTCACATGAGGCTTCACACTGGAGAGAGACCTTAAATGTGTATTCAGTGTGAAATGTGTTTTACACTTTTTTATTTAAATCTTCCTTTTGATCAGGAATGGAAGAATGGGCAGAATGTTTTGTAAATCCTATGCATTCTTCAAGATATGGACAGTTTTCAGCTCTGGTATTGGTCCATTTAATATAGTATATTTTGTTAGGGAACAGTCTCTGGCTTCCCTTGTTTTTAAAAGGGAGCTTGTTGTTGTTAAAATTGAACAAAATTAAATGATTGAGCAAGTACATAAAACTGTCACCTCGTTTTTATTTATTATTTGAGCTGTTGGGTCAGATTTTGCAGAAAATGTCTTGCGCAAAGATGAATGCATAAAACTGTAAAAATGGTCCATAAACCGAGAGAAGCTTCTCTGTCTATTACAGCATGTAATTATAATTCAATTCAATTTTTTCAATTCAAGTTTATTCGTATAGCGCTTTTCATGATAAAAATCGCTGCAAAGCAGCTTTACAGGAAATTAAGTTTCTACAAAATAACTTAGTAGTAGCTTGTCAGTGGTGACTATGTCAAATTGATGTGCATATGGCAGAAATGTACAGTAAAATTCAGTTAATGACGTAATCAAACAGACGATGAACACTATTAACAGCAATGATTATATGATGCAATCAAACTTTGGTAGTTCTGTATGTTGTTTCAGGGTTGGCATCATCTGAGGTCCTCTGAGGGGTTGGCATCATCTCTTCTCAGGTGTTCTGGATCCAGACTGAAGCTTGTGTAATTCCTAGTTACAAACAGAGAAACAAATAGAGACATAATTAGCGTAGCTGCTGTTCAATCCAAGCAAAAATGATTTGTTCAACCCAATCTAAGAAATAGTAATGTGCATTTGATCAGATATAACTGCAGTACAAGATTATGAGATGCATTATTTGAATGCTTGGAATGCTGTTTTTGTAACATGGGAAATATGAGTTTCAAAAGACAAGTTGCTATCTAATATAACACCCAGATTTTTGACTATAGAGTAGAGTTGCTGCGATAGACGGTGTTGGCGGTGATACCGGTGTTAAGTCACAAAACCGGTTACGTCACTTGCCCACCGTGGCACCATCTCCCACCGTTGTTTAGATTTTTTACAAATATTAGTTTTTTTTTTATTATTTAAGTAAAATCATTTAGTTTAGAAGAGAACAAACACTACAATTAAAAACTAAAAGCAGCTGCGCAATGCAGCATGCCAAGCGACAGTCACATCGCAGATCAGCAGCAGGAGTCAGATTTATCACGTGAGGAGAGCGAGTCGAACTGACTGAAAAAGAGAATGGCGGAAGATTTAGTTTCAAAACACAATGCAAAATCGCCTGTTTGGCAATATTTTGGATTCAAACCAAATGCAAATAGGGAACCTGAAAATGTTAATGAAGCAATCTGCAAACTTTGCCTGACAAAGGTGGCAGCATCCAGAGGAAACACAACTAATTTATACACACACATTCAAGTGCACCACAAGAATGAGGCTGCCAAAATGGGCCCTGCAGCAAAAAATCGACTGCAGAAGCCAGACGCACAGGTACAGCCATCAATTGGTGATGCATTTGCGCAATGCACAAAATATAATAGGGACAGTGTGAGGTGGAACAAATGCACTGACGCAGTGACCAAATATATCTGCAAAGAAATGGTGTCTTTTTACACAGTTGAAAAACAGTCTTTCAAAGACCTAATAAACACACTCGATAGCCAGTATGAACTGCCCGGGTGTTCATATTTCTCCAAAACAGCTATCCCATGTGCCTACAACCGTGTCCGGGGTGAGCTGCAACAGGCTATTTCAACAGTTGAGCATTTTTCACTCACAACGGACATGTGGTCGAGCACAAAAATGACACCTTACATGTCACTGACTTTCCATTTTATTAACACGGAATGGAAACTGGTGTCAAAATGCCTCCAAACAAGTTTTTTGCCAGAGGACCACACTGCCGCTAACTTGGCCGATGCTCTGCAGGAGGCTCTGCATGACTGGGGATTAGAAGACAATAAAGTGTCTTGTGTCACGACGGACAGTGGAAGCAACATTAAAGTGGCTGTTCGTAATTTAGGCTGGCCCTGGTTAAGCTGCTTTGGGCACAACTCGCTGGGGCTCCAAGCAGAAAATGATTGATAGGATGCTAGAGCAAAGGACGGCCATCAATCGAGTTCTTGCTGATGACCGTAAAGCCAATGTGAGCGTCACATGGCAAGACGAGGACGTGTTGCAATCGTTGAACAAAGCGCTGAAGCCAGTGAGTGAGTGCACCGACGTTTTGTCCGGCGAGAATTATGTAACTGCGTCATCTCTTCTCCCTGTGCTGCGTCTCATTAAAGAGGACACATTGGCCCCATCGGATGAGGATGGACAACTTACAGCCAACCTGAAAGCCGGGATCATTTCAATCTTAGACGAAAAATATGGAGCTCTGCCAGAAGCAAGCCGGCAGTTTATGCACAACGCAACATTCCTGGACCCGCGCTACTGGGGTGACTACGACCCGAATGTTGAGGAGACCAAGAAGATGATAGAGGAAGAAGCGGTCATCCTCTGTAGGAGAGCGCAGTCAGCGCAGCCCGTGAGAGAGGGAGACGAAAATGAAGAGGAAGCCGCTGTCGAGCCGCAGGTCAAAAGAAAAAAAACTTTAGCTAGTTTATTAAAAAGAAAGGCAGGCACTGCTTCAGCAAATCTGACCATTCCAAAAAAGGTGGTGACAGAAATCGCCACCTATGCTCAGGAGTCCCCCATCAACACAGAGCAGGATCCCCTCGTTTGGTGGAAAGATAATGAAAATCGGTTCCCCCTCTTGGCAAAGGTAGCAAAAAAATATATTTGCGTGTGTGCGACAAGCTGCGCATCTGAGAGGGTGTTTAGTACAATGGGAAACATAGTCACCCCCACAAGATCCCATCTAAAGCCAGAGATGGTCAACATGTTGGGTTTCCTGGCAAAGAACATGTAAACGGCAAGCAAGCCAATTTATAGTAGTTTATTTTTTTTGTTTTGAAAAGACTGCTGACTTGTCATTTATGTAAGGTGGTTTTGGAAGTTTTTTTTTTTACATTCATTTCTTACTTATTTGGTTTTACCTTATTTAATTTTTTTGTATTTATTTAAACCTATTTTATTTCCTTATTCGTTTTAAAAACGTTCTAATATAGGCTACATGATAAACGTTCTTTTTCTGCTGTTCAAAAAATCTTTATTTTCTCTATTACCACAAACAAGCTACGTAGCAGCTTGAATCTGAGTGTATTAGCTCTACGTTATCAGTTTGCTGTTGTGACTCTCGTGAACAGCACTGAACGCGCACTTTTCGGTACAAAATGTTTTTTTATTTTAAACCTTTTATCAGCTTATGTAGTCTCTACAACCAATGAATTGCTAATCTCTAGTGATGTATAATTTTTGTAATAGATCATTTGTTGGCAAAGGGTGAGAGATCTGGCGAGCCACATGATTTTTGTCAAAGAGCCAGGTGTGGCTCCCGAGCCATAGGTTCCCGACCCCTGATCCCGTCTCGCTGGATCTCACTTTGAAAACCCTAATGTATTACATTTTTAATAACGACATCTCTTAATCTTCAGTAGAAAAGTTAATTGCACTGACTTTCGCGAGAAGTGAATCCAAATGACGGTTTGCTGATGCTCTCCACACGTTCCATGTGATTGGCTGTTTGCTGCACGTGCCACACTTCCAGGTGCACGCGCTCCAGAGTCAATCACAAACTCTGGTTCAAACTCTGAGTTGAGAGAGTAGGTTTATATCGAGCTTTGTGAGCCCAGTGAACCTGATCTTAACCAGGTTGGCTTTATAGGGTTTTGTCAACTCAAAACTTGCTCTGCAATAGAAGAGAAAATAAGATGGATCTCTTAAAATAAACAACTACTTTTTCTTTTTAGAAAAATTTACATTTTTATTGCTGAAATTGCACACATTAAAAACCGTGAAAACTACACCCATTTAATGCATTTAATTGCCAAATTACATTCAAAATACAAATATATAAATTAAAAAAAATACAAAAATCAATTTCACATTACTTTAAAAAAAGATAAACAGTACAGACTAAAACTAAGACATAAATCAAAATAATAGTCGTAAAAATAATAATAATACCTAAACATTGCATTTATGTTGTGCAACTTAACTTTCAAGTTTCAGCCTAACTAAAGCTCAAGCATAACATAAGCCTTTAACGTCTTCTTGAAAGGCTTTGTGAGAGGCAAAAATCAGTGGACAGGAAGGTAACTTGGAACAAGAACAAAAGACCATACACAATTTTTAAACACATTTTTCTACAACATGAAATTAGTGTTATTTGGAGAATAAACCCTCTTAAATGTCCCTTTACGTACTGGTGTGTGTGTGTGTGTGTGTAAAACTTGTTTTTGATATCCTTCATATTCTGTGTGTGGGTCAGTTCAAAGCAGTGATAGAAATTAATCTGTCCCAGTAAGTTTAAATGGATTTTTACATTTTATGGGCATTTTTACCTTTATAAAGCCTTTGTACATCATCTTTTGAGTCAGATTCTTACATTTAATCAGTCAATTAGAATAATAGACATTTTGGGTTGTGCGTCAGTAATAATGGTCCGTGAGGAAACACGGTGTTCCGTGTGTAGTTACAGTAAATGGACTAAACGAAGCCTCGATGTAAAAAATAGTTTGCCTCGATGATTTTTTGTATTCGAGTTACTCTAGGTATTCGAGGAATCGTTTCAGCCCTACTCTGCAACTCTCGCTTCGTGCAACAGGCCACTGGGCATTATTGGTATTTTGGTTACACAATAAATTGTATTTAATTTAATTTCCATTTAATTCATAGTAAAGTATTGTAGTTTCTGTCTGGGATGCTGGAAAAGTCAAAGAACATTATTTGTCACATATTATTCAATATATAGATTTTACCAGTATCAGTAAAATCTGTGTCCCATTCACTGAGAGAGATACTATAAGATAAAGCAAGGACAACTCTACCATTTAAATGCTGACATTTAGCATAATTTACAGTGCATGATACGAGTATGTAATTAAATGTAATAGTAGCCTACATTATTAAAATAAATTTCAATAAATACAAATATTGTTAAAAATCACACATTATTTGTTATTTGTCACATCTAGTAGACTATTTTTGTGCCGTGGGTAATAGGAGGATTTTCCACCCAGCTACCACCGCAAGTATATTTCAAACCTGTGGGAAGCACTGGGGTGCGAGTTAATTAAATTTGAC